ATGGGGAGGCTTGTGAGAGGCGGAGAGACTATTAAAAGATTAGGCGGTTTTCCTTTCATGTACGTCCGCCATATTTAGGTCGTGGCTTTGTGGAGCCATGGCTCAATTCGATGTGAATGCGGCCTTTAGTAAGTATATATATAGGGTTTTATAAAGGGGTAGGCCTAAAAGAATGAAGATGTATCAGTGCTAAAAATAACGTTACTTAAAATCAATTTGAATAAAACAGCTAGTGCAATATAAATTAAAACTCTTCTGGGACTGTTCAGTAAATAAGTTGAGGATATGTAGCCGACTAAATATTTTGCTTTGTCAAACAACATGCATGTGGGGAAAGGGAAGAGAGAAAAACAAACACATTTACGTTATAAGACGCAGTATTCTTACTCATATGACCACTAATTTGATTTTAAGATTTCATCAGCAAGGAGAAACCTTATCTTTATGTGATTTCATAGTCTCTATATCTAGATTTTAAGTTTGTGAGCCCTTAAATAATCTACACAGAATTTTTAAAAAAAAGCTTTATTAATATACCAATTAGAAAACTAAACTACATTTGAGCACATTTTTATGTTCAACAGCAATCTTTCTAATTATAACTTTATATTTATAAGATTTTGATGTTATCCTTAGTAGGCCTAATTGTTTACTCTTGATCTTTGTATACTAAAATTATGTAACCCATACAAATTAATTAACTTAATTTGCGGCAATTTTCTTTATATGCAGTGAGCAAAATATATATTATTCGCCAATAACAAAGCGTAACGTTGACTGGTGGGCAAACATTATCAACGCGCTAACGTTCCTCAAAAGCCTTCTTCAAACCACATAAAGCGACTTTAGAAAGGTGGTATCCCAGTATGCAATATTTAAATAATTAAATGGGGGAAAATAATAAAACACCGACTGTCATTAAAAAGTGGAAATTTGGTGGAAATTTGGTGAAGTTTGAAAACTAACATATACTGTGTAATATATAGGCCTAAAGGGTGTCTTTATGGCGACATGGGCCAAAATAAAAACAATTAAATTTCCGCATTAAGCTAAAAAATAGCAGGACTGGTTAAAAAAAAGACGCAAGGCTTTTTTCCTGAATTTGATCTGAAAATCCTACACGGTTTGACCTTAATTTTCTGAAAGAATTCGTGTTAGACATGACCCCATAGTGGTGAAGAAACTGGTGAAATTTCAGGGAAAATTCGTTCTTTGGCCACAGGCCTTCATGCCCCTCCCACTGTGCAAAACATCCTTAACGTACCCGTCATAAAAGTGTAATGCTTGGGTTAAGCAAAGAAATCAGCCGAAAGTTGGCCGCCGCGAGCTCTGCTGTGGACCAATATCTTGGCAAAGATCTGTCAAAGTGTTCCAAGGCACCACATCGGACCCTCTTGATACTTTCCCGCTTGTCACCACTCACGAAAATATCGGTGGAAAGTACTTATTCATTTTACGCACTCTTGAGCAGACGGCTTTTGACAATCTCAGTTGGTTTTCGTGACTGAGCAAAGAAGATGGCAGAAATCGAGGTAAAATACACATAGGTTTACAGTGTTATTTAGACAGATCGCTTGTCTTTTTATTTGCTCGGGATATCTATATTTTGAAATACAAAGAGATAACATGCAAATGTACGTGCCATTAGGGATTAAAAGTGTTTATTTGGATTGAAAACCAATGTGACATGCAGTAAAAATGCAATATAATGATAATTATCTAGTCCGTAATTTGATCATGTTAATTTTAACATTATGTCTTCCCCTTAATACCCATATAGTAATAAAATAAAAACAAATAAAATAATGTAAGAACTCTTTCGTTTTGGAGATAAGAAATTGTTTCACGCATGCGCACAGACGACAGATTTGGCAAACGCACGTTGTTGAAATTTTCGCCAGATTTTGACTTTTTGATATAAAATCACAACTATTTCTCTTTATATTATGGCACAGGCAGTAAATGACAAGGTATGTTGTACCAACAAATGTGTGTTATAGTTTTCTTTGTTGATTTTTCTTTGAGAGTCAGTTAATCCTCAATTTGACACCAGATTTGCGAAGTGGATTCCGTACAAAAGACTGAGAAATGTAGACAGTCGCCAGTTGTTTGGTCTATTTTATTTGATCGAAAAATCCCTCTCCATGTAGCGTGCCGCTCTATGCATATATAACAGCTACCCAGAGTTAACAACTCTTGAAAATATAAGGGCAATAGTACTAGACTAGTGGCTGTAAGACTAGAAATCCGTAGAATACACAGTCGGAGAATAGCTGTAAAGCTAATGTTTCCATTCAATTTATAACCGACATGAAATAAAATTTATTGAATTGTATTGTAATACATAAAAACTGATACTGATTGGAAAAGAGGGGGGGGGGTATATCAGTTTTACAAGATGTAGTATTTTCTTTGGCATGTGTGTCTCTTAGATGTCCAACACTGCAATTAACAGTATAACAATGCAGTGGATCCTGTCAATCAACCAATAAATAAGAAGTATAAATATCTTTATCTCTGTGTGGGCTAGTTTTGAATATATATCATAGATTCCAGATGTTTATTTCATACATTTTTCTCTACGCAGGTTAAAGACTTTAAGGAAAAATGTAAGAAAGAGGTGAGTAAAAAAAATATTGCCCTTGAAGTAGATTGATTTTGGTACTGGTGTAGTGGTCTTTTTGCTTTGAATGCTCATTTGTCCATCAAGACTGGAGTCAATAAAGAATCTTGTATAAGAAAAAAAAATGATCTGGTACATTTTGGTATGGAAAAGAATGATTGAACTGGGCTGAACGGTATCAGATCTGTTTGGATAGTGATGCATAAGCCTCTAGAATATAGATTTTTGTATCACAAATCAATTATATTAGAGAACAAACATGAATAAAAGTGAGGTTTATGAAAATTCTATATATTGATTTTAAATATTCATAATGTATCATTATTTATTTTCAGATATCGTGCTTAAAGTTGTTTTCAGAACATTTTATTATATATATATATAAAAAAAAAGAAATTTAGACTGACAGATCATGAGGTGTATTTATCTTTTGTGTAAGGCTGAGCACATTGTACTGGAAGTGTTCCCAGAGAAAGTGAAGGAGCTGGATGATTTATTACATGTGAGTATCAATACAGCAGTCTCTAAGTTTTATCAAAATTTTACAGAATTCATAAAATAACCAAATTGTACTTTTTTTGTCTTATTATTTATGCATTTATATATTTTGTAAATGGATATATAAATATATATATATATGTATATATAGTCTGAAATGTTATAAGAGGTAGTTTAAACTTACATTTTTAGTTCACATGTTTTATTAAAAGCAAACTTTATTAAGAAACAGATTTTATGGACAACATGTATTGAAATGTTTCCTGAGGTGAAATAAAATTTTCTTTTTTCTGTCAGTACCAATATACTGAAAGATTTATATAAATTACTCTAAGAAAAGATTTATATGAACACTCCGGATGACAAATCACAATATTATCTGAAGTGAAATGAAGTTGTATTCTTTAAGTCGGACATGTTCAGTTTGAAGAGGATCAGTTCAATCCACCATGACGTTAATATCCCCGTCCCTGACCCTGCGCTTTTCAATGACACAGAGGAACCCACCTCCAAAAAGAGAAGAATTGACAGTGAGAAAAACCATTTAGATATATCAGGTAATGTTGAAATACCTCACAGGCCTTTTAAATAAAAAGTCTAGATTTCTCTATGCTTACAATTCATATAATAACTTATTTTACGAGTGCAGGGAATTGTGCTAGCTACCATTTTTCAATCTGGTTATTTTGAAGCTTCTGTTTAGGGTCAGAAAATGCATGTGGGTTGCTGTGTGAATAATTGGAATGCTTGAGGTGTTTAAAATTTGATTAATTACCACACCTCTCTTTTTCCAGGCTCTCTGATAGTTGGTCTTCCAAATGGTGTTTCACCAAGTAACCCCAAAATCTGTGAAATTATAGAGAAATTGAAGCCAAGTATTATGGAGTTACTGGAATCATCAAATCAGGTAAGTCTGTTTTTTTTTTTTTTTTTTTTTTTTTTTTTTCTAATCTTAATGGACCACTAAAGATATAGACTCGCCCTTCAAGAAATCGACGAAAACCGGAAGTGCGTGTTTTTTGCACTGTTTTTCCTGTCATGCCCATCGTAAACTGTGTTGTCAAGTAAAATGAAGCGTCTGATACAAAGTATCAAACGCGGCATTCACGTGCTTGCTGGCGATGCGTTCAGTACACTTTGTTTACACTGACAAGTCGAGGTCAGAATTGCACAATGTTTTTCTTTGTAATTATGCCGTTTCAATTTTGATTAGTGAATTTTCTTTTATCTGCATGGGCATTTGTATAACATTTGTATAAGCCACAAAATATTTCTCATCGGAAAATCACCCAGCAGCTTTCCAAGTACAAACGAGTGACGTCATGACGCACTTCCGGTTTTCGTCAAGATCTTGAAGGGATTAGCGTTACGGTTTGCTGCACATTTAAAGCGTTCTGTCTCAAAATGTACTCAACTGCTTGGATTGAAATTTACAGAACTTATTCTTCACATGATATCACACATATGTGCTTAATTTGAGAGCTTTAGCTGTTATATGTTTTCTACAGTGCCCATTCAAATTTGAAAAAGAGCTATTTTCTGTCGATTTCTTGAAGGGCAAGTCTACACCAGGTGAAAAGCCACTAAAATTTGAAATCTCAGATTTATGTTCTGGTTTTGACTTCTGTAAGGTCCTATGCACTCGGTGTAGCATTCTGATGAATTTCAGAATCCCCCTTTTTTTTTTTTTTTTTTTTTTGCATTGCACCAAGTAGACAATATGATGATGAGTTATACAGATGTGTGTACTGTACATGTTAAGCCATTCATGACCCGGATAATATGGCTTCCGCCTGTTGTTTTCAGGTGAAGATGTGGATCACATATCTTATTCCTAGAATAGAAGACGGCAATAATTTTGGAGTTTCTATACAGGTAAAAAATGGTGCATTGACTTTAGTTGATTTATAATGTGTGAAGTTGGTGATATGTGGATGGCAATATCTAGTCAATTATTTTTTGGTGATTAAATATGTAATAATGAAATATGTAATATGCAATCTGGTGTATTACTGAAATGTAACTTTAACTGTTATATTTCTCTCACTAACTGAGTAAATGCTATAATTGATGTTGGAACTTATAATTATTTTAATGATTAAAATAGTAATTTATTCTATGCTGAGTTAAATAGACTGAGTTTTAAATAGTTTCAAATTATTGAAAGCAGTTGTCAGTTTTGTTTAGGTTAAGTAAGAAATAACTATTATGTAAGTATTATATACTGATATAAGTGCTGAGATGTGTTATTTGGCCTGCAGGAGGACACGTTAGCAGAAGCGCGTCAAGTGGAGAGTGAGACGGCGACCTTCTTAGACCAGATGACCCGCTACTTCATTCACAGGGGGAAACTCATCTCAAAAGTGGCCAAGTACCCACATGTGGTAAACATAATTTTTTTTTTTTTTTGTAATGAAGTGCTGGAAAAATGTTTCTATTATTTTATATTTCTGTTTATTATCATTATTATAATTACAATAAATGATGGCTCTGCACCATCTTTATTAACAAAACCTATCTTTTTATTTTGCTTTTGTTACATATCTAGGAATAACTTTGTGCAGTTTATTTATAATAAACATCATGATTGTTTTGATCTATCTTTAATTTTGATTTATTTATTCATTTTTGTCATCCAATCTATTGATCTATTTAATATTTTCTATGTTTCCTACACTTAGAGTTTGGATTATGCTTAAATTTATTATTCTGTCAGGCTGACTACAGGCAAAGTATCCGTGAGCTGGATGAGAAGGAATTCATCACACTCCGGCTAGTATGCTGTGAACTAAGAAACCAATATGTAAGTATGGTTTTGTGTTAGTGATCTACTGTAGGCATATTTCCAGGTGTGCCACTGACATTGAATTGAAAATCTTGAGGATTTAGCAAATTGGGGTTATTTGGGTGTTGTATTTATGGCCCCCTTATGAATCTGCATGTCTTCATTTTCAGGTTCCGCTTGCATTTTCAGGTTTGAAAGGTCCATTTTCATCCTGATCATTTTAAGATTTAAAATAAAGTTTAAGTTGGTTTGATTTTCACAAATTAAAAATGGAGTGAAATAGTTTTATTTATATGTATGTTTTGATTTGTTTCAGGCTACATTGCATGATATCATCATCAAAAATATTAATAAGATACGCATTCCGCGAAGCAGCAATGTGGAGCAGCTATACTAAAATATGGCTTGGAGAAGACACATAGGGAAAGGATTCCTCTAAAACAGTGGCATGGTAAAAGATGTATTTTGAAAGGATTCCTGTAAAATATGACTTGGTAAATGTTAAAGCATGGATGTGACAAATGGCCACGTGAGCTTGGCAAGTTGTAATTTTGGAGGGAATTATTATTCACCTTCCCAAAGCATTTCATAAACCGAAAAATGTTGTTTTAATTACTTCATGGGCTTTCAAAGTTGAACAGGTATTTGAAAGAAAAAGAAAAGTTTTTTTATGTTATGGATTCAGGAAACTGATGGGTTCAGCAAAGAAATAGATGGACCACCACCATGAAACTGGTCAGTCTTTTCTGTATTCTTAAACAAGATTTATAGATGAACAATTATTAAATTTAGACCTTATTCGGTCCATGTTTCTATTTTGTCTTGACGTACCTGAAAACATAATCCGTTTTAAAGATAGGTGCCCATTTGACATCTGTTTTAAAGACAGGTGCCCATTTAACTTGCCATTCACTTCAATTAGTAAGACCAGACCATGAAATTGTCAAAATAATATATTATCCTATTTAAATGAACATTCAACTGTTCTGTATTCTCTGTAAGGATTACTATTTATCTATATACACACACGTACTAGTAAAGAAATTTAGTGTGTGTATATGTGTACTTCAGTCGTATTCAGGTTGTTTGGGACTTCGTAAGGAGCTGACACGGTCAAGGCATCACACTGCTGCTGTGTTAACGCTGTCATAAGTAAGATGTTTAGTGTAAAGCTGAAATACCCCAGGATGCTAATGTTACAGTAATATCAAAGCCATGGTGCTGAATGTCATTTGTATATAGAGATACTGAAAACAACTATTTATAACAAACTATTTTTGTGTATTTGTGCTTGCAAACTGCAGGTTAGGTATTGCTTAATGAAACTAAGCCTGGGAATGTTATGATTTAATATGAAAAAGATGAATATTTTTCCTTATGTTAAAAATAATGGTTTACTGTATACTATTTTGAATTCAGTGCTGTTTATGTAAGTGTACAGAAAGGTATAGTAGCCTTCAGATTTTATAATATTATAATAAAGTTTTAACAAAGTTAGTTTGATTGTTTTGCATTGTTGGGAAGGGGGAAGGGTGTTTATTGACATTAATTTAATAAGCAAATAATCCTGTCCATAATGTCTTAATTAATGGATAGTTAAATTAGTTTTTGAAGAATTGGTTAATACATATTAGGCAATTATGCTCAGTTATAAACAATTTTACTGTCACTGCTACGTGTGGCATATCTATTGCGCGGTCTTGTTTAATAATTAGATTTTGGTCTTTGACAAGTCTAGTGCTCTTTGTTGCAACTGAGATACCGAGACATTGAGACAGCTGAATGGTGGGGAAGTTCAAACCAAGTCACAACTTATGTCAAAATAATGACATCAAAATAATAGCATTTTCACTCGAAAAAAAAAATACTGATATGAAGGGAAAAGAGATAATTCTGTAAACAGTATAATATAGTATTTTTAATATCAATAAGTTGCATTGATGAGGCATATACAGTGTTGCACATACAGAAAATGTAAAAATAAAAATCATGATCATAGAAAGCATACAAATAAATTGTTCAGAAAAAGCCCAACAAAAATTAGCTCATCAAAAGTAACATATAATACACATTCAGCAATGAAAACTTGTCATATATTCAGTTAATACTACAACATATTACTTCCCAAACAACACTACATGGCATATGTAAACCAACTAAAGGATGACTGTAACTCAAAATAGCCAATTCCTTCATAACATCAAGACATAGAGGCAGGCTACAATTCGTGATTATCTGCTTTCTGGTCCCCATGTATCTTTTACCTTAACACTATAAAACTAATCAATTGCGCATACACAATAACCGTTTTAAATTTTGACAAGTAACTTGCGCCCCTTGCCAGAGGATGCATAAATGCAAATAATGGTCCCAATGCCCTAACCAAACCTACATCTGTAAAAGAAAAATGTGGTATTTATTCGAGGACAACAAAATCTAGTTCTATTGGCCCTTTTAGTTAAATGAAAAACTTTGGTACATTTCATCCAATCAAAGCAATTTTCACAGTAAATATACTGATATACATGCAATGCCAGTAATGATTAGTTGCCATGTGTAGTAATAAAATTAAAGTCTAAATAGTTCATCAATTAAGAAGGATGTACAAAGTCCTTGCAGTTAACCTCATAATTTTTCTGTGATCATAATAAAAATATGCAAGTAGTTCCTTAAGGTACTTTGAAAGTTGTGAAAAATCAGTTGGTCTGAAGTTCATATCAGAAAAATTAAATATGCTACTGTGAGTAACCAAAAATGTTGATACTTAAAAATAATTTAAAAAAAGAAGATTTTTGTAATTTCAGAGTTACTACTTTAAATATTAACTATCTAACAATAATCATCATTTCACCCAATCTACCTTCTTTTGCTTGAGTAAGTGCACATACATAACATTATTTTATAACAAAGGCAGGTTTTAACAACTGCTTTATAATTTTTAAACAAAAAATGATTTGGATCTGTGATTGAAATTCTCTGTCAATAATTGCATTTCACTTTGTGGTGTCCTTAAATTACTTACACCAATATTAAACAACAGCAGTCATAACTGCTAACATACTATTGATCGATTCCTTCTCACATTTTCTAATAAACAGCTCCCCTTCCCTCAAGATACCAATAACACATCCCAGAATCAATGTGTCAATTGCATGCCTTCAAACAAAACCAAGTTTTGTTTCAGAAAAATGACATTTCAATATCACCCATATTCTTCCTAAAACAAAAGCTAGGAACTGTATTTCTTTCTTGTATTTAGCACCAATAAAAGTAACTACAATATGGCTGTGAGGCAGTTGTACTCACCAATAAGTATCAACACAGTTGTACTCAACAATAAGTATTAACACTGACCATTGCCATTAAGATAATATTTTTCCCGAAAATTTAAGCTGTAAAAGGATCCAATGCATGTACAATAGAGAAAAAAGAACTTGAAGGCAAGATATATCTTACGACACACAAGTGACAGACTCTTAAGATCAAAAGTGCACATTACAATTTGACTTTATCAGATAATCTGGTAACTGAGCCACAGCTTTCTTTATCATACATTTTAAGACTAAAGTTAAAGTTTCTGAGGCCTTTGGGCAGGTTTGGAGGGATGGATTTCACCAGTGTACCAAAGTGAACAAAAGTCTGTGTAACCTTGAAGACTGAAATGCCATCTGGCCTCTGCCTGTTGTGTATAATTCTTTGATGGTATGTGACACATCTCTACCTTAGACTATACAGGTATGGTGCACTGCATATTGAATAACTACAATTATGCTTATCAATATTATGCAAATGATGCAGCTGACATTACCTTTTGCTGGGCTCAGAAAACTTTGGATACAGGGAGTGTTTAGAAGATAAGATACACATTTTTAGTTGGTCTTCAAAACAAGAAAATCATCAGAGTATGTCATAACAATAGCAATTAATATGATAAAGTAGACACAGAAGTGGACATAGTTTAATACTATCTCATTAAAAAAGGAATTATACACACTTTTTTAAAGCAGTGCATAACAAGTTTGTTCTATACAAAGTGAATCATTTCATTTGTTCAATGTGTCAAATTCCATTTTGTGGAATGACCCTAATGACAAATTGTGAATCTCTGTACTTACTGCTGTACAAACTATATTGCTCTAATTGTATTTTGTTGATTACATGTCATCTGATCTTTTCTTAAAATCCCATATTCTCTGTCACTTCCTGGATAAACTGAAAACGTGGTGAGCAAAAGTGGAAGAGGAGTCAATAGCTGCCAAGTATACAAGACTCCACCTTGATAAGGCGTCTTGATAAAGATGCATTATTACAGCCATATATGATGTGATAACATACATGTATTGTGTGTCAATCCCTGGGTAGTATGGTTATCAAGTAACCTGGAAATATCCTATTAATCCTGGAAATGCCCAATTACTTCCTGGTGCCAGGAAATGCCCTATTACTTCCTGGTGCCTGGAAATGTCATATTACTACTTGGTGCCTGGAATGTCCTAATACTACCCAGTGACTGGATATTTCCCATTATACTTATTATATAGTGCCCTGAGCCTGAATACTTCCTATTAGTTCATAGTGCCTGGAAGTGACCTATTACTTCCTGGTGCCTGGAAATGTTCTTGAACATTGAGCATACTAACCCCCTCCAGTGCCTATATGATACCTGAAACTATTTCTGAGGCCTACTGTCCTGTTACTCCAGGGTCAAGGTCATTCTGCCACAGCCTCAGCTCACATGTCCACGTCCTGGGGATAAGTTTGTCCAAGAAGGAGTCCTAGAATCAGCAAAAACAGTTCAAAAGTTTGCCCCCTGTATTTCTTTTGCAGCAAGTGGTTGTTAGTTATTTCAAAACATATCAGTGGATATATGATTAAAATTCCTCTATCCAGTTGAAGGGCATAAGATCCATTGGCTGGGGAAAGGGCCAAAAGGCTAGGAATGGTGTCTACAGTCAAGAGATGGGGGCCAACAGCTAGGCTGGGCATGGTACTGAAAGATGACTGGGAGTAGGGTCAAGTGGCTGGGAACAAGGCCACAGGGTTAGGTACAGGTAGGCACAGGGCTAGGTACAGGTACAGGGCCAACAGGTAGTGAATGGGGCCAACAGGCTGGGGATAGACCGGACACAAGGACAAATTGTTTGAAAACAGATTGCAAAAGTGTGTGTGTGTGTGCATGTGAATGTGTGCACACAAATGCTAGCCTTACCGCAGTAACAGGGCAGTTTTTTCTGGCATACCACTCCAGGCTATACAGACACATCAGCAAGCCCATCCCTATCATCAGTGTTATCCACATAAACACATTCCAGGCTTGGTGAGTGGGCTTCAGACCAAGGAACATGAAACCAACTGAAATATAGAGAGAGACAGAACAAATTCAGGCTGCTACCAATATTTCTATGCAAAAATGAATATAAAAATAAATTATCTGGCATATTGGTTAAGTGTCAAAAATTAGGTGATTGTGTGATTTGAACTACATTAAAAGAAAACTGAACAGTCATGTTTTAAGAGTTAGATGTGAGTTTTCAGCATGGGGTGAGTAAACTGCTTGGAAAAGACTCCACACCTTTTGTGTCACATGTATCATCATATTGCATTAATTGTGCCATTGTATAGAGTTAGTTTTCCAACACCAACATGTGTGGTGCATCTAATACTTACATCCAATTCCTCCAAACATAACAAACAACACAGGATAGAAGAATCCCATCGTCATAGTAACAATGTACTCATGAAAGATGGCTGACAACAGAAAGACTACTGCCATAGGCGTAGCTCGCCCACACTGGATGTTCAAGTACTGAAATTCAAAAGATTTATAATAACTATTCACAGGGTTTTCAATCACTTAAGATTTTTAAATTAAACAGGCTTCAGTCAACCAATGTTTGGCATGATATGGCTTAGAGGATTTCTTTCTTTAAATTCCATATAGTAAAACCAATTATCTGTTGGCCCTGGTTAAGGTTAAAAAAAAATACTAAAATAAAACAACTTAAAGTCAAACTGAGCTTTTTAAATGTCAACTCTCTAACTCCACCTCCCCAAGCTTCTCCTTGTGGTGTAAAACCTAGACTAGCTGATGAATTTAGTCTGCGCCTGCGGCTTTTGTCTCACCTTAAGTAACGAGGAGATGTCCTTGTAGACATAAGTAAACAGCCAGTCATGGACTACACAGTTCCATGTTCTGTACCAGATAGCATACGACTTGGAGTTCCACCAATCCTGGAATTAATATTATTATCTTATATGTCACAGTAGAGTTTAACACTCTAAAACACCCTTTGTTTCAAAGGTTAATAGAATCTCAACACTATTCAACTCTCATTATAATAATCACTGATATATTAATATATTCAACTAGATTTACGATCTTGCTCAAAATTGAAAGAAACAACCTTCAGTGAAGACGAACATGTATATTTCTGTACCTTGTAAAAAAGACGATCGGCAAACCGGAGCATCTCAGCAAAGGCATTCAACCAGGAGTGTAGTATGGCAAAGAATGCTGGAAGCATAGAAAGGAAATAATATACACCCAAGGAATCTAGATGATAGACCATAAATGATGAAATTATCATTACAGACTTCAGTTTTAAATATATATACAACGTACAGGAGAAATCAGAGTTGTCTAACAGAATAACTGTGGTCTGAATATAAGCCAAGTTTTACTTCTTTAAATAACTACCTTATCTAATCATCATACTGAAGTCAAGGTACAATTGAAATTCAGAATTTAAGCTAAGAACAACTCTGTACTGACGTTCTTTTCTAAAAAAAAAGTAAAAAAAATCCACCCTGTTGCTCAACCCACCTATCAGCAGTATTAGAGTGCCCGGAAGCATGCAACCAAATGAAGACAGTAGCAGCTGCTTCAGGGTGACACTTTCGTGGTTGAAATTCCTGAACACTGGTACACAGAACCTGGCCAGTAGGTAGTACAAGTAGATAAGACAGCCCGCCACCTGGGCAAAGTTTGTTACCACATATCTCCAGTTAATTGTGGGGCTCCTGGAGAGAAAATCAAGAGATATCATTTTTTTTTTCAATTAGCAGAATCTTCATCTTTTATTTCTAGTTTTGATTTCAGACTTTTCAAACATACTTAACGATGTATCTATGAGTTTTGACATGATATCAGATATGGCAGTATCTAGTAAAAGAATGTCAAAAGTGACAAGTAATCATTAACCACTTTCTTTCAACCCAAGCAGCATATAATCTGACATACATGTATACTCACGATGTGATCTTTCATTGAGAAAGAGCTAACTGAACTATATTACCAGCAGATTATGTGAAAAGTAAATTTTTTCATGTTTTTGATTGTAAATTTTTTCATTTAAATCAAATTTCTGACCAACATTCTGGAAACCAAAATCACCTTGGATAACTGTCCCTGTACACGAGTGTTGGGACAAATAGGAAGTACAGGTAGTTTGAAAAGTTTGGACATGGGCCATCATTTGAACTCTGGCCATCACTTCCCTCCCCTTCACTGTTTTCACCTTCTGAAAAAATAAAACAAACGTAATGGAAGTCAGAGCTCTTAATGCTTACCATTGTCTTATATTACAAAAAAAAAAAAGAAAGAAATATTAACTTA